GGCTTCGGTTCTGAGCCAAAGCCAGGTTGATAGCACCTTCCCCTGAAAATGACAGTCAAGTTATAAAAAGGAAATCCTTAGAATAAGATGCAGATTTTGTTTATAGAAAGCAGAAAAAGGGTAAGTTTCATCTAGATGGGTCTTTCTTCAACCCATCTGAGTAGGTTGCTTGAAGCACAAGGCGATATAACCAATTCTTACTTGTAAGAGGGAAGCAGGGCAATTATGAATGATATTTAGTATCAACAGAGATCTTGGAACTCTGAATATTCATTTTCAGCCATCTTACCAATTGTATGTGGGGTGTGTGTATGTAATGGAAGAAAATGTTCTCAAAAACTTGCAAAATCCTAGACTTCCTTTTGGTAATTTATGATCAGAAGAAATATATTAAATATAAGTAGGTTTAATGAAGAAACAACATATACTGGTGCAGGGACACTAACACTTGTGAACAAAATACCATTTCCTTTCAATAACTGCAATATAAACATATTTCCAGCAGGAAAAAAAATCATGCAATGAAGAGGAGATAGGGTGCTACAAATCTACTTTCTGAAACACATGATGATAGGACCAATATTTCTACAGGTTTTTGTTTTTTGAGATGGGGTCTCACTTAGTCACCCAGGCTGGAGTGCAGTGGCACAATCATATAGCTCACCACTGCCTTAAATTCCTGGGCCCAAGGGATCCTCCTGCCTCAGCCTCCTGAGTAGCTGGGACCATAGGCAAATACCAGCATGTCCAGCTATGTATAGGATTTAAAATTTTATCTTATTTAAGCTTCACAATACCCTCATAATGTTACTAGAAGTATTCCAATTAAGTAGACTGTAAACTTAGAGGCAACTTAAATCTTACTTGGTCCAATGATAAAAAAGGTGTCTGAAACAAGCTACAGAATGCTTCCTGCACTTAATCCAAAATTTTGACTACTGTTATAAGAGGGCACCACCTTGTGGAGAGTTAAAATATAACTAGTCTGTGGCCGCTGAGCTGAAAGGCTGCACTCACTTAAGTCCTTCTATATTGCAGGGTTCTGATTCACAGGGTCAGATGGTAAAGCACAAAGTTAATGAGGCATTGCAGTCTCCTCTGTCCTGTCACTGATATGGGGCAGCTTTCTTTCTTTCCTTCCTTTTTGAGATGAAGTCTTGATCTGTCGCCAGGCTGGAGTGCAGTGGCGTGATCTTGGCTCACTCACTGCAAACTCTGCCTTCCAGGTTCAAGTGATTCTCCTGCCTCTGCCTCTCAAGTAGCTGGGATTACAGGCGCGTGGAACCATACCCAATAATTTTTGTATTTTTAGTAGAGATGGGGTTTCACCACGTTTTCCAGGATGATCTTAATCTCCTGACCTCGTGATCCACCTGCCTTGGCCTCCCAAAGTGTTGGGATTACTACAGGCATGAGCCACCACACTCAGCCTAGGTCAGCTTTCTATGTCTATTTTAACCAAGAAGGTTTGCTGGTCACAGGAAACAAACATCCTACCAAAAAGGAAATAATCACTGGGAGCTACCAGATGCTCTAGCTTGCCTCTAAGAATCAGGTGTAAAAGAGAAAGAGAACACAGGTCATGAGGGTTTCCACCAAAGGAAGGGAACTATTAATATACCAAACTTGTTAAGACATTCTAAGTAGAAAGAATACTGTTCTGGAAAAGGACATCAGGTTCATATCAATCCTCTGCTTAAAACAGGTCCATTGCTTCCCACTATTTTGGAAATAAAAACCAAACTTCTTAACAGGCTCTACAAGGCCTCAAATTATCTACCTAGCCAAGTACTGTTCAACAGAAATACAGTATGAGCCACACATGCAATTTAAATTTTTCTAGAGACCACAGTAAGAAACAGATGAAATTAATTATAATTTATTTCACTTAATACAACCAATGTGTTGTTATTGCAACATATAATTAATGTAAAAATTATTATTTTTTGAGATAGGGTCTCCCTCTGTTGCCCAGGCTGGAATGCAGTGGTGAGATCACAGCTCACTACGGCATCGATCTACTGGGCTTAAGTGATCCTATCACATCAGCCTCCCAAGTAGCTGTGACTACAGGAGTATGCCACCATGCCTGGCTAATTCTTTTCATTTTAAATTTTTTTGTAGAGACAGGGTGTCACTATATTGTCCAGGCTAGTCTCAAACTCCTGGGCTCAAGCAATCCTCCTGGCCTCAGCCTTCCCAAGTGCTGGGACTACAGGTGTGAGCCATTGAGCCCAGCCAATATAAAAATTATTGAGATATTTTTTGGGGGATACCAAATCTTCAAAATTTAATATGTATTTTATACTTACAGCACATGTCAGTTTTAACTAGCCACATTTTCAGTGCCCAACAGCAACATATAGTTTGTAGCTACCAATACTGGACTGCCCATATTTAGCCCTATCTCTTTAACCTCTCATCTCATGCTATTTTTCTCCTTCAATAACAAGGATTCAGCCCCAGTGGGTTTTTTTTTTTTTTAAGTTTCTTAGGCACACAAGGCTGCTTCTCACCTCAAGGCCTTTGCTCATGTGATTTCCTCTGCCTAGAACAGTTCTCTGCACTCTTCGCATAGCTAGCTTCTCAATTTTCATGTAACCTTCAGTGTCACATGCCCAAAAAGTCCTCTACCAACCATCTTATCCAAGGTTAGGTAACTTTTATCGTAACATCTTGCTATTTCTGCAGAGCACATTCCATGTGATCATTCACTTACTCACTTTCTTGCCTGCCTCCCCCATCACCATACAGGGGTAATCACAAGTCTCTCCTAGTTCCTTTACATCTGTTGTTCCAGCATAATTAATAGCATTCTCTTTCATTTTCAGAAGTGTCCTAATTTAGACTGGGCATGGTAACTCACGTTTGTAATCCCAGCACTTTGGGAGACCAAGGTGGGAGGAATGCTTCAGACCAGAAGTTCAAGACCAGCAACATCGTGAGACGCCATCTCTATGAAAAATTAGTCAGGTGTGGTAGCACACACCTGTGGTCCTAGCTACCAAGGAGGCTGAGACGGGAGGATCACTTGAGCCCAGGAGCCTGAGGCTACAGTGAGTTGTATTTGTACCACTGCACTCCAGCCCAGGTGACAGAGTGAGACCTTGTCTCAAAAAAAAAAAAAAAGTTGGCTGTAAAATCAGGATAACAATTCTCTAAAAGAAAAAAGAAAAGGTATCCTAATTTAGATGATAAATTATATGACCGTATATAATACACCCTATATACATAAAATAGTGCCTGGTATACGGCAGGTGCTCATTAGCTACTTATTAAATACAAAATGGTCCTCTCATTATAACCTTACAAAGAATTATAGACGTTTTTCTACATGATAAATTAATTCCTGAAAAACCTCACATTTATCAGATCTTATACTGAAAATAACAGCGTTGGGGCAAATACAAAACCTATGAGACTTTGTAACCAGAGCTGTAATAAAAGCAATTAACTGGTGGAGGCAAAACACTGGAAAAAATGGAATGGAAATGTCTGGTTAAAGGTGCTGAGATAATGTAGATGCAGTGGAGCTCTGAGCCAGAGGGGCTGCCATTAAGGTGGGCACAGGAGGAAATGCAACCTCTCATGAGCTGAGAGCCACACAAGGCCAAGGCTGGGGGATACACATCAAGAAGGCACACGTATGTACATTCTCAGTCTTAATTTTAATAGAACTGAAAAGACTCCCACATATGTAATAGCGGAGCTAAAAGCTTTTTCTGATTGATAATTATAATTCTATATCTACTCTTCCAACACCTCTTACCTAAGGAAAAAAAAATCACATATTAACAAACAGAATTTCTACATTATACTGCTATCATTCTCCTATTTGCCAACTGCATATGTGCTAATTCATGCTAAAGAGAACACTACTGGCTCCCAAACTTGCCAATTAGGGGTCCACAAACTACATCCTATGGGCCTAATCCAGCCCACTGCATGTTTACTTAAATAAGGTGTTACTGGAACCCTGCCATATTTACTTGTTTACATATTGCCTATGGCTGTTTTTGATCTACAAGAGGGAGCTGAGTACTTGTGAGTTAAGATCTTATGGTCTGCAAAGCCAAAAATACTTATTCTTGGCCCTTTAAAGAAAAAGTTAGCAGACTACCACTTTAGATCACCATGAATTTACAGAGGGGGCACAAAATGTCCCCAAAAAAGATGTTTCCCCAACTCCCTGGCCAAAACTCAAAAAAGGAAGGGTACAGGGAGTATTTGTCAATAAAGAATGGACTATTGGGAGAACCACCTGTCCCACAAGCCTTGCAGCAGACATGATAGTGGTAACATTCCCTCTTTTTTTGATAGGAAGTCTCGCTCTTGTCACCCAGGCTGGAATGCAGTGGTGTGATCTCGGCTCACTGCAACCTCCACCTCCTGGGTTCAAGCAGTTCTCGTGCTTCAGTCTCCTTAGGAACCTTAATAGCTGGGACTACAGGTACGCACCATCACACTCAGCTAGTTTTTGTATTTTTAGTAGAGACGGGGTTTCACCACGTTGGCCAGGCTGGTCTCAAATTCCTGACCTCAAGTGATCTGCTCACCTCGGCCTCCCAAAGTGTTGAGATTACAGGAGTGAGCCACTGCACCTGGCCAGCATTCCTTCTCATAACTTACAAAATCAACAGTCCAGCTCCATAAAAACAATAGCTGCTGCCATCACTTCCACTCCTGCCTAGATTTCCAGTAGTGTGGGAACAAAGATCACCTGGGACATGCATGTAGCCTAAAAGTTAAAGAACTCTTTCTGTATTGTGATAATCGTTGTCATATGTGAATTCCATAATTTCTTAAAATACGTTATCTATTTGCTTCCTTGCTAGTACTCATGTTTTAATTTATGGCTATGATATTAAGGGAGAATCAGAGTTTTATCCTTTTAGAAACCTGAAGGAAGTAGGTCTGATTAAGAGAAAAAACTGGTACTTCCTTCTCCAGTAAAAAACACTATTAAGGTTTCAAAGTCTTTTTTTTTTTTTCAAAGATTTAAAAACTTATTTTACTGTCTTCAACAACAACAACAAAAAACAGATAGGGGAAGTCCAGAGGACTTAGCACTGAAGCAGCTCTATACAAAAATGAAGATGGTACAATGATGCGACCTCAAAGAAAATAACTAAAACAAAATTTTACAAACATCTTCATGTTTGTAATGTATTAATGCATAAAATATCAAAAATACAAAGTCTGGGTTTCTTCCCTGTAGGTTTACGATAAACTATCAATTTTCTATATAATGCATTTCCTTTTTTTTTTTTTTAATAGAGATGGGGTCTCGCTATGTTGCCGAGACTGGTCTTGAACTCCTGAGCTCAAGCAATCCTCCCACCTCGGCTCCCAAAGTGCTGGGATTACAGGCATGAGCCACTGCACTTGGCCTTAATGCCTTTACTTTTGTAAGCCTTCTTTGTTCAGAAGTGTACACTATACAAGTACATACATGCTGGTATTTTACCATGATTTCATCTCAAACTAGTGACTTGCCGTTTTACCCATACTTATACACAAGTAATACCTTTCTAGTGGTACATTTTAATCAATATGTATTTTTTAAATCTTGATTTTTAAATGAATCTTTTTAGTGCTATGACACAATGGGCTTCATTTAACAGCTGAAGCATGATATGGTAACTACATTGTACTGTTTAATTCACAACTGTAGGAAAGTGTTTGATTTTTAAAACATAACCAAGATGAGGCTGGACAGTAATAAACACAGAAACACTTTACAGTGAATGAATAAATAATACAATTTTTCATCAGTGGCCATTCATTGTTTTGCTTTTGGAAACCTGGAAGAAACTGTCTTCTTTGATTTTCAAATGTTCTGGTAAATCTAGTCGTTTCTTAGCTTCCTCAATATCACCTTGAATTGTTGAAATAAGTGACTCTAAAGAATCAAAGTTCTCTTCTGGTCTGAGGTAGTGGACAACGGCCACATTGAGATATGCATGATATGTGTTTCCATAGACTTCTTCGTATTCTTGTAGTATGGGTTCCAGCCTATGCTCACCACCATCTTATGGACATTTCCACTTCCAACACTGGCCCAACCATAATAAATGCCAGTGGCTATATCAGCTGGAAGATTATCTACCACTTGCTCAGGAAAATTAGCCGTGGGGATGCTCAGCTGCTTGGAGCCACGGCTGAAGCCATGCACCACTTGGCCACGGCAGAAGGCAGATGCCTCATAATGCAGTCCGCTCAGGGCATGGACTGTGGTCTGGTCCGCGTCTCCTGCAGAGCCACCATCGAGGCGGTGTATGGACCCCCGACCAGCTGGGGGACAGAAGTGTGAGCTCTGCCTGCCGCGCGGCAGCAGGGGCTGAGCAATGCCAAAGACACGCCGAGGCAGATCCCAGACGCCGACGACCCCACAAAAGCTGCCCAGTGACTCCCAGCAAAGTTGTCTCTCGCAAAGCCTTTCAATAGGTAACATAGACCATAAAACATCTGGGGTTTTAAAGAAACCCCCTTTGTGTTCCTTAAAGTATAAACAGTTCTCATATTGTGATTTTTACCAAATAGTTGTTCGACTTCCACGCTTTCTATTAGTTCATCCTACAGATTGCTATGAATTAATTTTACTTTTCTGGATCCTTTTAGATAATTCAACATTTTTCAAATTGAAGTGGTTATTGTTTAAGCCACTATTCTCTCATTTATCAAATGGTGAAATTTATCCTATTTCTCAATCTAAATATAACCCTTTTAAATAATCTGTCTGTTGGTATTGCCCCTTTGGGGGCACAGCAACCTACAATGCTAGACTGCCTAAAATGTGTCTCACTTCTATAAATAAAATGATGACCTTAGTTGCTGAGGTTTCATGGAGCATTTAGGTTCTAAGTAAGCACAGGGCCTGGAGGACCTGGCCTACAGTGAAAGGGAAAGCTGGAATTACTGGTTGTCAACTGGTTATATCAACACAGGAGGGGAAGTAAGGTTTGCTGAGCTTCCAAAGACCTCCCCCCCACATGATAGGTACTTACCTCTCTCACAGGTTTGTCTTCCTTACTAAAGTCATAAACTCTTCCAAGTTTTTAACAGTAAGGACAATATTTATCATTGTATTCCAAATGCTAAAGCTTATAGTCTATGGGGGATAAAACAATAATCAAATTGCTCTAATGAAAGTGTGAGATAAATTATCTGAGGGAGAGAAACAAACTTTTGTGAGAGTACATAGCAAAGGACTGACTTGACAAAGGAGTTCAGAAAATACTCCCTCAAGATTTAAGCTGATACTTGAAGGCTGAGCAGACATGGACTAGGGAAAGGGGGACTGGTAGGGGATAGTATTTCATTTAGAGACGACATAAATGCGAAGGACCTGTGGCGGAAGGAAGAGAAAGCTGAGAAGCTGGAATACAGAGGGAAGGGAGGAGAGTTATACAAGATAAGGCTGGATGAGGAAGGTAGAGGAGAGACCATATAAGGCCTGAGGTCATGGTAAGAAGTTTGGTTTTCATTCTTTGAATAATACCAAGTGACAATAGGATAGTAAGCTAGGAGTGTAGGGTGTGTGTGTGTGTGCAGGGGTCTATGTGTGCACATGCTCATCCCATTTTCATTTTGAAAGAGATCATTCTGGTGAAAATATTAAAAATGAAGACTGTGGGCCAGCGCAATGGTTCACACCTATAATCCCAGCAGTTTGGGAGGCCAAGGCGGGTGGATCACCTGAGATCAGGAGTTCAAAACCAACCTGGTCAATATGGTGAAACCCATCTCTACTAAAAATATAAAAATTAACTAGGCATGGTGGTATGCACCTGTAATCCCAGCTACTCAGGAGGCTGAGGGAGGAGAATTGCTTGAACCTGGGAGGTGGAGGTTGCAGAGAGCTGAGATCATGTCACTGCACTCCAGCCTGGGTGACAGAGCGAGACTGTCTCAAAAAAAAAAAAAAAAAAAAAGAAGAAAAAGAAGAGAAAATGAATGCTGCTACAAAAGCACTGCTGAAGGCTTCATAATCTGTTAGCTGAATAAACACTAAAGTTCATTTGGTGGAAGAAGTAAATTAAATTGATGTTAAGCTGGGCACACTGGCACATGTATAGTCCCAGATACTTAGGAGGCTGAGGTGGGAGGATCATCTGAGCTCAAGAGTTTGAGTCCAGCCTGGGCAACATAGAAAGACTCCGTCTCTAAAAACAACAACAAAAACAAAGAAAACCACATAACTAAAAAAAAATTAATAAGACAAATCAATTCCTGATCAGGATGCCAGTAAAATCAAAGTCTGAAAGACTGATGATGAAAATTAGCCAAAGGAATGAGTCTAAGGCTGCAGATGCTAAACACCATCAGGACCCAGCAATAACCTCAGTACCTCCTCATCCTAAGGAACTGCAAAGCAAAGTACAAGCCACATGAGTTGCTTGGTATTCTTGAAACACAAAAGCAGAGGAACAGACAAAGAGGCATAGAAAATCATGCTATATTCTACTGCTGTAATTATTTTGGTCTAGATGGGCACATGGCAAAATAAAAGACCTTCAATCTGAACGGAGAGAATCCCTAGATCCCGAAGCTGCTGGTTGTTGCTCTGAGCAAGGATCCGTAGCCGCTCCGCTGCTTCCCGGGGGATATTGAATGTCACACGCACACTGTTCCAGGGCTCCACCTTTTGTACTTTTAGCTTGCTGGACTCTTAATTGTGAAAGAAAAAGAATTATATTAGTAATCTTTTAGCCACCAGAGGACATGGAATCAAAAAACAAACCAAAACAGCAAAAGAATAAAGTGGAGTACCAGCTTGGAATAGCTAAGAGAGCATATGCTTTGGAGCTACAGATTTCAAATCTAATCCTAGCTTTGCTACTTAGCACCTGGGTGACCATTAACCAGCTATTTAACCTTTCTGAAACTTATCTTTTTCTTCTCTAAAACTATGAAAAACCTACTTCATGAGATTTTGGGTATAAACGAGATAATACATGCAAAAAACCTAACATAGTACCTGATACACCACAGGCAATCAATAAATGGAAAGCAGCAAGAAGGAGAAAGGACCAAAAGGAAGAAGAGAGAGGTAAGTTTAAATTAATAGAATAGGCTCATGCCTATAATCCCAACACTTTGGAAGGCCGAGGTGGGCGGATTACTTGAGGCCAGGAGGTCAAGACCAGCCTGACCAACATGAAGAAACCCTGTCTCTACTAAAAATAAAAAATTAGGTAGGTGTGCTGGCACATGCCTGTAATGCCAGCTACTCGGGAGGCAGAGGCAGGAGAATCACTTGAACCCAGGAGTAGAGGCTGCAGTGAGCCAAGATCACGCCAGTGCACTCCAGCCTGGGCAACAGAGTGAGACCTGCTTCTAAATAAACGAACCGAATAATGTTTACTTCTAGGCTCAGTTAAATGCATGCAAACTGAGAAACTGAGAACATGTGAGCCCCAAATTTCAAGTGAAATTCTATAAAAATTCTGGATGCAGATATGACAACTACAGGATATTAGAGAATCCACAGCTATAATCTACTACAGTTAAAGAAAGGGCACTTAAAAGGAAAACAATAGATTTATTCTTAACAGTTTGTAAAATGTCAAGCAATTTTATACCTCCAAATTAAATATTTGAAATTTTATGTTTATTTATTTAGAGACAGAGTTTCACTCTTGTTGCCCAGGCTGAAAGGTAATGGCACAATCTTGGCTCACCACCACTTCTGCCTCCAAGGTTCAAGCGATATTCTCCTGCCTGAGCCTCCCAAGTAGCTGGGATTACAGGCATGTGCCACCAAGCCCAGCTAATTTTGTATTTTTAGTAGAGACGGTGCTTCTCCATGTTTGTCAGGCTGGTCTCAAACTCCTGATCTCAAGTGATCTGCCCCCCTTGGCCTCCCAACGTGCTGGGAGTACAGGCGTGACCCACCGTGCCTGATGTATTTGGTATTTGAAATTTTAATATTCATATTTAAATATTCACCAGGCACATTTGTGCAAGATAGTCACAGAGACAGGGAGGCAACTAGGCTGGGTGGGTGCCTAGTTGTCAAATTTATATTGTTTTCCCAGCACTTTGGGAGGCTGAGGCAGGCGGATCACAAGGTGAGGAGTTCAAGACCGGCCTGGCCAACATAGTGAACCTCTGTCTCTACTAAAAATACAAAAATTAGCCAGGCACGGTGGCACATGCCTGTAGTCCTAGCTACTCGGGAGGCTAAGGCAGGAGAATTGCTTGAACCTGGGAGGTGGAGATTGTGGTGAGCCAAGATCATGCCACTGCACTCTAGCCTGGGCAACAGAGCAAGACTCCATCTCAAAACAAAAAAACTGACAACTAAGCTTCAGTTAGGATATGAAAACACTACATTTTAGCATTACAGCAAGCCTGTAACATTAAAAAACAAACTAAATCTCAAACACTATCATGGACCTACACATGGCTGCAGACTAGATCCAGCAAGCTGTCAGCGAGTTCTGATATAAAAGCTAAGGGAATAAAGTACATTACAAGCAGGCCCATGGAATAAGTTTTCTAAGTTTTAAGGGTCCTTAAAGATTCAGTTTAACCTTTTTAATTTATAGATAAGGAAAATGAAGATCAGAGAGTTAAAAACAAATAAATTTGGGTCTTGAGAATTACTTTCATCCACTAGAGCAGATTATTTAAGAATTTCCATGATAAGCAATACTTTATTATGTTCAGTTCTTTTACATACTTAAAAGGAAGAAAACATTTATATAAAAAATCCTAAAATTCCACTTTTGCACTTAAATTCAGCCTTTTGATCCAATTTAGCAAACTTACTTTGCAAAACTCAAGATAACCATGGAAGGACAAACATTTCAAAAACAGTAACGAGAAGAAAAAATAATTAAAGCAAATTACCCATGTGTAACAAATTGGGTACATTTTTCAATATTGCATCTAATTTCCATTTGAAGTCTTTATCATCTATATTTCCTTTGAAGGCCACAAAAATTGTGGAATCCTCCAAAACACTATCACATTTTGTGTCATCATCTTCTGGTCCAGAGTCAAAATCTATCTCTGAGTCTTCCATTGTTGATGTACACAAGGAAGTATAGATGTCTTCTAAGTTTGGAAGGTCATCCAAAACCATGGTGAATATTATTCCAGAAGCATATGCCAAGTAGACAATAAGAAAACCTTTGAAAAGAGAAGAAGATGCAAAAGAGCATTACAATGCAGAATTATGCATTCAACAATGTATAATTCATAGCTCTGTGAAAATTATAATTTATTTGACAAGTAATAAGGAAATACTACAAAAATTAAGAAATTACAGAGAAGACAAACTATTTTAATTATGATATTCTAAAACAATTAGTTCTTACAGTTACCAAAAATAAAAACATACCAGCTTTAAATTTAACATTCTTTTTATTATGTTATATGCTACCTTTTTGTAAGCCTGCAATGTCGGGAGAAGAGAACAAAAAATAACAAGAAAATAAAACAAGCACATACTTTTTGAGAATTATAGGCCTTTGGTTGACCCCACAGAGCAAGGGGCTCCCCAAGACTCTCCCTATTTCTGTCCTGACAAAAGCTTAAAAAGAGCCAAAGTTTCTAAAGCCCTCCTCTTTCTCCAAACTACAAAGCACAATCAGACCCAACTAATAGCAACTAGATGATTACCTAAAATTCTGAAGTCTTTCATGAGCCATTTTAAACAACTTTTAAAGGGTTATTAATAGTGGAATGGCCGAAAATTATGATTCAGAAATGAACACTCAAAAATTCTTATATGAAAGGGCCAGGTACAGTGCCTCACACCTGTAATCCCAGCACTTTGGGAGGCTGAGGCGAACGGATCACTTGAGGTCAGGAGTTTGAGACCAGCCTGGCCAACATGGTGAAACCCCACCTCTACTAAAATACAAAAATTAGCTGGGTGTGGTGGTATGTGCCTGTAATTTTTTGTAGTTTTAGTAGAGACGGGGTTTTGCCATGTTGCCCAGGCTGGTCTCAAACTCCTGAGCTCAGACAACCCACCCACCTTGGCCTCCCAAAGTGCTAGGATTACAGGTGTGAGCCACCGTGTCTGGCCTTTTATGTCTGTATAGCACTTATTTATATTATTAAAGTATTATAAATTATTACTTTATACCTGTAACTATAATCACAACTTTCTTTTAAAAAAGATGGATAAGAAAATTAATCCCCTAAAAAGGAACTCTATTAGGTTGGTAGGATCATTGATAAATTTTATTTTCCTATTTTCCAAATATTCTGCAAATAACTAGGAAATATAAAACTATGTGGTAATATGGTTATATTCCTTGCATAAATGAAAAAAAGTAACAGAAAAACTGTCTTTTTTTTTAATTTATTTTTTTGAGACAGGGTCTTACTCTGTTGCTGGAATGCAGTGGCACAAACATGGCTCACTGCAGCCTCAACCTCCTGGGCTCAAGTGATCCTCTCACCTCAGCTTTTCAAGTACCTGGGATTACTGGCATGTACCACCATTCCCAGCTAATTTTTTATAGAGATGGCATCTTGCCATATTGCCCAGGCTGGTCTCAAACTCTTAGGCTCAGGCAATCCTCTCACCTTGGCCTCCCAAAGTACTGTGATTACAGGCGTGAGCCATCATGTCAGACCAAGTTTTCTTTTTTAAATAGTGAGGCTGGAGGATGGCTTGAGGCCAGGAGTTTAACAATATAGCCTGGGCAACATAGTGAGACCTTGTCTCTACAAAAAATAAAAAAATGAACCGGGTGTGATGGTGCATGCCTATAGCCCCCAGCTACACAGGAAGCTATGGTGGGAGGATCCCACAAACCCAGGAGTTTGAGGTGGCAGTGAGCTACAATAGTGTTACTGCACCCCAGTACGGATGACAGCAAGATTTTTGTATCCAAAAATAAAAATAAAATAAAATAAACAAAGTACTAGTGACTGAACTTCAACAGCAAAGGTTTTCCAAAAACCAGCCTAAGCAATCTTTGGAGGAAAAACTCTTCTAAGAAAATATGGAAAAAAATACTTCCAAATTTGAGCAGAGCACCTTGCATTCTGGCAATTATATCCTTTTCTAGTACTATGAATCTGATTTGGGTGGTTAAGAAACAACAGCAGGGTCAGTAGCTCATACCTGTATTCCTAGCACTTCAAGAGGCAGAGGAGGAGGACTGCTTGAGCCCAGGAGTTCCAGACCAGACTGGGTAACAGTGAGACCATGTCTCAATTTTTAAAAACATTAAAAATTAAAAAACAAAAGAAACAACAGCAGTCAGAAAATTTCAAATTAATACCACGGCCTTATTTAATTGCCATCTGCATTTAACAGATTTTTAATAAACTTTAGAGGTAATTAAACACAACTAATAAAGATTTTTTTTTTTTAAGATGGGGTTTCACCATGTTGGTCAGGCTGGTCTTGAACTCTCGACCTCAAGTGATCTGCCCGCCCTGGCTTCCAAAGTGCTTGGATTACAGGCGTGAGCCACTACGCCCACCCGGCCCTAATGAAGATTTTTAGAGCTTAAAAG